TTTATAGTAGAATTAATTGATTTTCCGCTACCTTCAATCTTGTTATTCTCTTTTTATCCACAAACCAATTCTAATTATACGAATATAAAGTAGCAAAAGTATCATAGTTTTTCTTACACCATAGAAGTATGGGCAGCGTCGGTGTGAAGAGAAACATCATAATAGTCGTAAAACAAAAGCCAATATTGTAGAGACTCTTGGATCCGTCGTAACCCATATCATAGAAAGTTCCGCCAATAACGAATCCCAAGAAAACGTACAAACACATCTTCAGATACAGATAGTTCTATGAACACACATAGAAATCATTTATTTCTACGTTCGTTTTGATAACTTTATGGGCCAATGTTATGGAAATGTTAATTCATGCGTATCTTGTACTTTTATCGAGACCTGTCATTTTTCTGCCATTCGAGATACAATTATCCCAGCAAACACCAACTAACAATAATATAACATTAATATTATAATTTCTCACTAAATAATGTATCGTAAATGTAATATATTACGCATGTTATGTAACATATATAAGGTAACAGTTACATTGTGGAATGGGAAATCGTAATATTGATATTATATTATTATTAATTGGTGTTTGCTACGATGTTCATTTTAAAATCATTTAATACTGAATTTCATCAATTTATGGAATGTCATCAATTTATGGACTTCCTCCGCACTTCGTTGTTTTTTGCTTGCCATTTGTAATCAGCGNTATGGATTCCTCCGCACTCCGTTGTTTTTTACTTGCCATTTGTAATCAGCAAAACACATTATTCACTCGATCTTACCCTGTTCCGATAGAGCTGTAGCATCATTCTCTTCATTAGTATGCTGAACTGATCGAAACATAATTGTCTCGGATAATTTTTCTTCTCAAGCTCGAACTCCTGCTTCGATCGGTAGACCTGCAGAATCGGTGCCTTCATTTCCACACAAGCGATCATTCGTTCAGTCAGATCGAAACCATGTTCGCCTGATGAGATTTCTATCACTGAAACGATTGTAGTTTAATGATATAAAGTGATATCTCTGTATGTATATTTGAACGCGATATTATATTATTTCAATTTTTCCATTCAATTAAGTGTAAATTTAAAAAAATATACGAAATTAAAAAATTTATGTCTTTCATTTCCTTTCTTTTTTCTATGAAAAACATTAATA